AGCATGTAAATAAGTAGTTGTAAATGGCAACAGTTCTTTTTTTTCTTTAAGAAGATTTTATTGGGGAATTGGGGGAAGGGGAACAGACAAGTTGCTATCCTTTTTGTTCTTCAGTCTAGTTGTGGAGGACGTTGCTTCACTGGCCCAAGTTGGCACCATCATTGCACTCTTCACAGGCGAGGCAGATCAGTCGCCGGCTTCTGGACGGCCGCTCACTGCGGCTGCTGGCCGCTCACGCTGGCTGCTGGCTACACACAGTAGCCCGTGGCAACCCACTGCAGCCTACACCGTCGCCGGCGACTCACGGCAGCCCAGCTCCAGATTGAGCTGTTGTTCAGCATCTTAGCTGTGGAGGGCAGTGTCACTGGCCCTCATATGTGGGATCCGAACCGGGGCCCTCTGGCGTCCCAAGCCAGCTCTTAACCAACATGCCACTCAGCCGGCCCGGCAACAGTTCTTTTAAACTGCTCACCTTATGTCCCTAGAATATTCTTCACTGACCCAGGAAAAACCTAAGTTATGATGGGGCCGTGCCCATGTTAAAATTGGGTAGAGAACGGTTTTGAGAGTGTCTGTTGTTTTCACTAGTTTTCAAGATAGTTGAAAATATATTTTTAAAAAGTGAGGTTAGAAGCAAATGCTTAGAGACCCCTGAAATATCTGTACCAAATATGGCGGCTCAGACGTGTCCCTGTCACACAGGGAAGGAGACCCAGCGTCAGGAAAGGGGGTTGACGGGCTAAGTCCCCCCAGTGGGTGGTTGCCTGGCTCACAGCCTGGGCTGAGCACTGTAATCAGCATCACTGATCTTCCTGCCCCAGGATTCCCATCGGACCCCCCTCGGCCAGCCCTACTCCAACCCCCCCCTCCCAACCCACCATGCAGCGGGCGAGCTGATCAGCAAGGCGGGAATGTGGGACCTACAGCTGTCCTGGGAATCTGGTGGCAGCTCCTCTGTTGTCAGCCAGGCAGGTGGGTCAGGAGCCTCCCTAGTCTTGTGTACCCCATCTCAATGCAAGACTGTTGGGAGGAGGGGTTTAGGAATCAACACAGGCTCCAGGCTGGATTAATTCTCTTCATTTGCATATGGTGCTGCTTTCTGGCAACCTTCTGGATGGAGACAGCTCTGCAGCTCTACTCTCCCTGTATTGTGTGGGGACAGGATAAGGGCATGAGATAAGCCCCTTTCCCTTCCTTGGTCAGTTTCCCCTTCCCAGCTGCCAGTGCCTGGTCTCCCCTGCTGGGTCCTGACTGCACTCAGCAATGACAGGAGAGTACGAGTGGGAAGCAGGTGTCCCCTGTGCTCTGGTGCAGAGAGAATCCAGGCTTTGCCACTCACCAGCTGTGTCACCTTGGATTTTTGGCTTACCCTCCCAGAGCCTTGGTTTCCTCCTTTAAAAAAGTTGGTGAATCACCTGCCCTGCAGGGCAGTTGAAAAGATTCGATAAGAAATGGACAAAATAAGCGTGCTTCCCAGCTGCTCACGGAATGGCAGCTCCTATTATCGATTGCTTTTGTTTTGCTTTGCCTTTTTTTTTTTAAGATTTTTATTGGGGAATTGGGGGATGGGTGTTTTGCTTTGCTCTTAATGAGTCACTATTAGAGCTCAGTTGTGAGAGCACCATCTCTGGGTTATGGGTGGTCCTGATGTGGCTTGACAACTCTTGTGGGGCAACGCCAAGCTGTTGATTGTCCCCAGTTTGGGGGCTTGGAGAGGGAATCAGCCCCAGAAGAGCAGGCTTTGTGTGCAAGCCACAGACAGAACCATCCATGGCTGACGGAGGAGGTGGGGTGCCTGCTGCCCCTTTTCCCTTGGATGCTTGATGCTTTGAGATGCGACTTCCAACTGGCTTCCAGAGCGACAGAAATGGGTTGGAGCTCTTCCACACTGTGGATCCTTGGCCCACGTTTTCTGTGTGGCTCTTTGCCAGGTTGGCATCTTGGCTGCTGGGCTGTGCCAAGATCTGCATGTAAGCCCTATGGGCTCGGAGAGAGAGCTCCAGGCAGTCGTCAGGGCAAAGTGGTGCCAGGTCCCCCAGCCCTCACTCCAGCTCTCTCTCTATCAATCTCTCTCTTCTCTCCCTCTCCCTCTCTCTCCCAGTCTCTCGCTCTCTCTCTCTCTCACACACACACACCCTGAGACTGTATTTACGATCTTCTGCTCAGGCGTCAGTTCGAGTGTGCTCAATCCACCTCCATTCTGGTCCATAGTTATATTATCAGTGCCTATTATGTTCAGGGTCCTACAGCTCTGATAGGAACAGAGGAAAAAGTGGGACAGAGCCCCCTAGGATCTTCCTGTCTAGTCAGAGGCTTTAAGAAAGGTGACTGCCCAGCACAAAACGGCACGTGAGGTCTTCAAGAGCTGGGCAGAGCCGTGTGGGAGCACGGAGGAGGGAGTATATCTAATTGGGGGCCTGAACAAGGCTTCCTGTAGGAGAGGACGTTTGGGACAGGGCCCAGAAGATGGGCAGGATTTGGACAGAGCGAGATGGGGGTGGGGAGGAGAGGTTGTTCCAGCCTAAGGGAGAGTGGAAACAGGAAAGATGGGGTGAGTTTGGGGCCCAGGAAATAATTTCTGTTGACTGTGAAGGAGAGGAAATAGACGTCAGTGCTGCAAAGCTAGATTGGGGCCACATTACATAAGGTCTTAAGTGTCGAAGTGAGGAGTCCATGGTTAAAAGGGAAGACCCTAGGGAGCCATGGGCAGTTTTGAGCAGGAGAGGGTCATAATCGGAGTTATCTGGCAGCAGTATGGGCTGAGTCTGGGGGAAGGATGTTACTGATAAGCTCTGGGGCAAGGGATAGCCCCCTATGGGCGTACCAGCAGTGCACACTGAAACCCCCTCTCCCCTGCCCCAGGCAGGCTGAATACATGATTCGTGGGGTATGAAGGGCGGGAGGGAACAAAGATGGCTCTGAAATTGGGGTTCCTGGGTGAATGGATCTGTGGCCATTGGCAGGGTCTTAGCAACAGGACCTTAGTAGGAGAAAGAGAGATGGCAAGCACCGGTGGGGTCGTGATGGGGCTGGGCTTTATCTCCTGGCTCTGCAGGGGAGAAGCTGTCCTCTGAGACCAGTGCGCAGGCTGGTCCCTGAGCTCAGAGGCTGGCTCGTGTGTGTCCACAGGGACAGCACGCTGCCCGTACATGCCCCCTGGATCTGCCCACTCCTCACTCCTCTGCCAAGTCTCTTGCCTACACTTTTTAGGTGTCCTGCCTTGCTCCTCCTCGCCCTAGAATGGGGATTCCATTCACTGGGCAACATCTCAGTTGATAGGGGTGCTCTGGGGGTTTCTCCGAGATGCTCAGTGTCCCTGCCAGACAGAAGGGCAGGGCTGGATTGGGGACAGCATCAACACAGTCTCAGAGCCTTTCTCAGTCACAAGGCTGGAGGGTGAAGCCTGGTAAATGCCAGCCTGCAGACTAGGCAGCATCTGCCTCAGGCCTGGAAACAGGGCTTGAGAGGTCCCTGGGAAGGGACAATGTCTGAGTGACAACCCTTTAAAATGGGCCCCTCCTCCTGGCCGGCTGCCTCAGGAGTTCAGGAGCTGGGGACCGGCTGCATGAGCCCCAGCCTCTGGAGTCCTCGTTATGGAAAGACCAGAGGTGAGGCTGAGGGGGCAGAAGCCTCCTGTCGCAGGTGAGGTGGAAAGCAGGCCAGGGCCACAGAGTTAATAGTCTTAGGAATGCAAGGATGTGTGATGAGACCAGGTTGTCACAACAAGCCCATCCCAGTGCCCCACACGGCTCACTGAGGCTCAGCAGGATATGCAGGCGGCTCCCGGGACAGGGCTTGAGATGGGAAATGATGTGACAGCCTCTTTCTCTCAACCCATGATTCCAGGAGGAGCAGAGCAGAGGACGGTGGAGGCCAGGGCCTGGGCTTCCCAGGGTACCTGGACACACCGGGCAGGGATAAAAGGAGAGCAGGGTAAAGGGCAGCCGGTGACCAGGTGATGAGGACACCAGGGGGCGGGACAGCTGTTTTCCTCTTTTTACCCCCCAGCCCTTTCAGAGTGGGTCAGCCTGGTCAGGCCCCTGCTCCCCTGCACCCCTGTCCCTCCTGCCCTCCCCGCCCATGTCAAAGAGCCCCTTGGTCAGGGTTGGCTAAAGGTGAACCTGGGGTGGGACGGCCAGTGTGGGGGCTGCAGGAACTGAGAGGGCTGGAGGGAGATGCGGGAATCATCACAGGCTCAGCAACCTCTCCTCGGCCCCGGGCAATTACATGGCCACAGTTCACTAGAAAACGGTTGTGTAAGCACTTTTGTGAGCCCCATGGAATGCTCAGGAGGCCTGGGAGTCCGTGAGATTCAATCAGCCCGGCTAACCTGGTGCTGAACGTCTCTGGATGCAGGGAGACAGGTGCAGGGGGTGGTCTCCCAAGTCCGGCAGACACCCCCACCATCCCCCAGCCACGGGCCTCGTGAGTCGTAGTTCCGAGGTCGTCTGGACTGTCCAGAGCTCTGATTCTTCCCACAGTGTGGGGGGAGGAGAGTGGGTCTCCTGAGGAGGCCCGATTCTGGTGGAGAATGGGGGGGCTGTTAGCTCACCCCACCCTGCAGGGTCAGAGTCAAGTGTCCAGTCCCTCAGCCCAGCAGGGACAGTGCTGTGTCAGGACCTGCCCAGACCTTGGAGGAAAAGAAAAGTGTGAGAACAGAACAGGGCTATACCAGGACAGCCACGTGGGGCTCAGAGCATGGGCATAAAAATTACATGAATGCCACTTACTCCGTGTGACTTCACCTCTCTGAGCCTTAACTTCCCCTTCAGAAAATAGCAGGAGCCTCTCCAGAGAGTTGTTGAAAGGACTAAGTGATATACATTCACAGAAAGCCCTGAACACGGCTCCTGCCTATGGCACGTGCTCAAACGCTATTATTCCATTTGTTTGATTAGGCTCTGAGTCAAGTCTTGGGGACTAGAGGTCTATTTCAGAGCTTGAAAGGACTCAGCTCATTCTACGGGACTCAAAGGGCAGAGGTTTATACAGAGAAAGGAATTTTAGAGTAATCTGGAAGCCGGATGCTGCTTAAACTATTTAAACCACGGGTTCTCAGCCGCAACACTGTGGCCTTTCTGGGCAGGTGAGTCTTTTTCGTGGGGGACCCTTCTGCATCTTAGGGTGTTTAGCAGCAGCCCTGGCCTCCATCCAGTAGAGTCAGTAGCACTGCCCAGTTTTGACAACCAAAAATGTCTCCAAGGGCCGGCTGAGTGGCTCAGTTGGTTAAGAGCTCGCTCAAAGGTTTGAGCTCTGAGCAACAACGGTTCGATTCTGGCCCGAGCTGAGCTGCCGCTGAGCTGCCAACAGGTGGCAGGATGGCTCAGCTAAAAAAAAAAAAAAAAGTCTCCAGACATTGCCAAATGTCCCCTGGGGGCCAAAGTCCCCTTCCATCCCTGTGGAGAAACACTGGACTGTAATAATGGGAGTGAGGGGCTTTGGGAGTGGGGACATGGAGGAGGAGGGCTGCCGAGCTGCCCCCTCATATGCTGCTTTTATTACAGGGAGGAGCCCATGGCTGGACCCACCACCCATGTTGCCCCCATGCTGTTCCTTGCCCTCCTGGTGCTCCTGGAGCTGAGCCTGGCGGGCTCCCTGGGACCTGGAACGCCTGCTCGGAACCTCCCTGAGAAGCACATCAACCTCCCAGGCCCAGCACTGTGGACGTCTCGGGCCAGCCACCACCCCCGGCGGGGCCTGGGCAAGAAAGAGCGCGGCCCCGGCATGCCTGGCCAGGCCCAGGGCGGGGCTGCGGTCATGGCCACAAGGCAGGCCCCCAGGCTGCCAGGGACAGGGGCCCTGCTGCCTGGGAAGAGTCCTGCAGGCCTGCTACAGGACAAGAATCTGCTCTTGGGACTGGCGCTGCCCTACCCTGAGAAGGAGAACCGGTCTCCAGGGTCAGAGAGAGTGAAGAAACGTGGCAGGGAGCACAAGAGACGCAGGGAGAGGTTGAAACTGCACAGAGGTAACTGGAGGTCTGGGAGGGGGGTGGGGTCCTACCCTGGAAAGGGAGGGGCGGGGTGGAGGAAGGGAGAGGGTTCAGACCCAAATGGCCAAGGGGATTTCAGGCGCAGGCTGGGAGTGTTAATGGCGTGATGTCCCTGGGAGGACACCCAGATGGTAGGAGGTAGGGAGACTATTTCACTCAAGTCAGAGGGATCTGGTAAAGGAAGGAGGCTGAGAAAGGTCTGGGAATGGAGCGTGGGAGGAGGGGAGGGATATGTAGCTCTGCTCTGTATCCGACTTAACCCCATCCGATGCAACTCCACCGGTTCAATGCCCTCCAAGCGCATCACTTAATCAACTCCGAAGCGCAGAGCCAGGGTTGAGAGCTTAGACCCTGAAGCCAGATGTGCCCAAGTTCCGATCCTGGCTCCCCTACTTACTAGCTGTGTGGCCCCGGGCACGTCACCTTTCTGCGCCTCAGTTTCTCCCCCTACAAAATGAGGATAATGGCCCCATCTACACTCAGTCTAGATTTGGAGACAACTTGATCATGTAGAGTGCTTAGAATGGTGCCTGGCAAGTGGCAGGGACAGTGAGCAGTTGTTACCAATTAATTCTCAGCTTTCTCTTGTTGCTGAATCAGTGTCGTCCAACCTGGACACAGATGTCCCAGGAGAGGCATCACACCCTTTCCCTCCTGACTCTGCCCTGTTTGTTCTAGGGGGTGCTCCCCACCCCCACCCCCCCACAGCCCTCCTCGCCTTCCTCTAAGTTTCCTCCCCATTCTCAAATCCCTGTGAGCATCTAGCTGTCCACTGGCCCCAGCCTCCCCCTCCCTGTGCCCATTCAGTCTCTGAACAAACATGTCCCAGCAGGTCCACCCAGCTGGCTCCTCCCCAGTCTCAGCTGGCCTCCAGCCCAGGTAGCAACCTCACCTTCCAAGGCTCTTCACGTGACAGGACTGCCTCTAGGGGCAGGTCCAGTGTAGGAGGCAGGGGTGTTGCGGAGGAGGGTGGTGGAGTCTCAGCTCCACCTCCTCTGCAAACAGCTGCGGCTTGCTTCCCTGCCCCGCCTACTCAGAACCCCCAGGTGAGCAGAATACAGTTGGCAGGTGGGAGGAGGGGGTCAGCTTTGACTCAGCCTCCTACACCCTGGAGGTCATGTGTCAGGTTGGGGAGGGGACGCTGGCATCCTTGAGGACAAACCAGAGGGCACACATGGAGCTGTACTCAATTCAGCTCAGCTCCAGCCACCAGCTCCAGTGGACCAATGGGGCCTTCCCAAGAGAGTAGGAAAGGGGACGACAGGATGTCAGAGGGCTGGAGGCCAGGCCCAGCCCTGCTGACCAGTTGTGAAGCCTGGAAAATGAGTGGAAGTCCTCTTTCTACTCTCTGGGATTCATTTCTGGAGAGTGAGGCGACCCCAGCTGACCCACCAACCTTAAAGTCGTATCTTACCTGAGAAAAAAGAGGCTAGGATGAGCCTGGGCCCTCCAGCTTCTCTCAAAGCTCCTTTGTTTCCGACTACCCCAACCCTGCCCTGTCGTACCCACCCTACCTCATGCCCGTGTGTCTTGGAAGGTGGCACCGGCGATTAAAAGTATTGACTTTGCACCCAGGTGGACCTGGGTTCGAATTCAGGTTTCAAATCGCTCTAACTGCGTGCCTTCAGGCAAGTCACCTAACTTCTCTGTGCTTCAGTTTCTTCCCCTGTGGATGAGGCCGAAAGAGCACCTACCTTTCAGAGCTCCTGCAAAGGTTAAATAAAATAATACTTGTAAAGCAGTTTCAGGCATACAACAGGGTTCTCACACAACAGGTGCTCAGTAAACAGGGTGATGCTTATCACCACACAGGAAGCACACACTTGTGTGTCATAAGCTGCAGCGCTCACCTCCCAGCCTTTCCAAAGGCCTCTCCTTCTGCAATGCCTCTCAGCCTCATCACGTTGCTCCCCTACTCAAACTTCACCTCCTCCAGGAAGCCTTCCATAGTTCATCTTATTAGTTCCCGTTTGTTTCACTTACACCCCTGGCTGCATGCAGCCAACCCAGACTCAGAATGTTGCTTTAGAGGGAAACTCCTTGGGCTGTCTGCCCAGCAACATTGCAAGTTCATCCAAGACATCCCCCCACATCCAGTCCGTCCCGTCCCCCTTCCCGTCCTGTCCTCCCCCCGCCCCTTTCCACCTCCCCAGGAGGGTGAGCAGCAGGGATGTTTGCTGGGCCAACGGTTTGTCACATGGTCCCTGCTTTGCAGCAGGAAATGTCGGTTCTGCTTTGGGTGCTAAGGGGTGGCAAACAGATAAAGCCCCAGTGTGTCCTGCTCTGTGTCTCAGGCCAAGGCATGGTCCGAGGTCCCAGCTCCCTGATGAAGAAAGTGGAGTTCTCTGAAGACCATGCACTGGACGCCGTGATGGAGGACTCCTCCACAAGCCTGGCCCCCACCATACTCTACCTCACCACCTTTGAGGCAGCACCGGCCACGAAAGAGTCCCTGGTCCTGCCCGTCACATCTCTGTGGCCCCAGGTAAGGGGCCTCAGAATGACCTTGGAGCTGGAAGAGTCCTTGAGACCACATTGCGAGGCACTGGAATGGGATGGAATTGGGAAAGCCACCGGGGTGGGCTGGAAACCAGGTCTCCTGATGCCCGCCAGCCCAGTGGCCACTCTGTCCTGAAAGGGCTGCCAGTGTCCAGGAGAAGGTGGCCCTGCGAATTCGCTCTAGAGACAGCCAAGGAAGCCAGTGCCAGCTCAGCACACTGGTCTCTGCATTTAGAAGGCTCTTGGGGAAGAATTTTATACATACCAAAAAGCACTGAGAATAACAATGTAAAAAATTATGTCCCCGGGACACAGAATTAACAAGCATTAGTTAATACTTAACATCTGCTTCAAACCTTTAAGAGAGATGTATGGAGAGAGAAGGCAAGTAAGTGTGGCTTTGAAGTTTTTTTTTCAAAATAATATTTAAAATGATCAATAAAATATACACGTAGAAGGAAAAACTTATTTTTTTATCAGTAGATCTTTCTTATTCTCTTTCTGGGTCTTGCACCCCTTGAGGTTCTGATAAAAGCTAAGGACAATCCCCAAGGAACACATGGTTATCCATGCCGTCGCAGGCCCCCTGAAGTCCATCCGTGGAGCACCTGAATGTTGCCTTTGTTACCCATTGTGGGCAGATCCGGCCCTGAGATGGCTGGCCAGGGCTGTGAGAGGGCCATGGCCGTGGCAGTGGCTGTGGCCTCAATGGTGCCACGGAGAGCTGACAACTTCTGCAGGGGAGAGAAACAAAAAGGAAGAGATCAGCTGGCTTCCTCCATTCCCTCTCCGGGGTGTAGAGACCCTCAGCAAGCATGATTGCCTTCCCAGCCCCGCCCTCAGAGGGTCTGATGGACAGCTCCTCTGTGTGTGTCGGTTACCTGAAGGCACTATCCTGCCGGGTTGGTGGCTGCACAGTGAGAAAATTGTCCAAGTGGCTGCTGGAGCAGCAACCTCAGTGTCCCGAGGCTGGGATTCTATCAGAGGATGAGCTGGCCTCTGAGGAGCCCCTCCTTTGCCCTCTGACCCTGGGGTCCCACATTCCTGCTTCCACTTGTTCGGACCTCCAGGTTCCCTCCTCTCCACCCACCTTCTGCAGGCTCAGCCAAAGCCTGACGGGGAGGTGATGCCCACGCTGGACATGGCTTTGTTTGATTGGACTGATTATGAAGACTTAAAACCTGAGGTCTGGCCCTCTGCAAAAAAGAAAGGTATGTCCACCTACCCCGCCATTCCCATGCTTGGGCTCCTCCCTTCCCTCCCTCCACCACCAAGTGTTGGTCAGCCCAGCCCGACCTACCAATATCCAAAGTGGCAGGGCAGAGCATGGAGCCTACCCTGGAATAGACTCCCCAAATGGAAACGCCGCTATCAAGAGCTTAACACAAACCAAACACTTTCATTTTACTCTTAAAAAAAAAAAAGTTAGGTCTGCACTGCTGTGGTTCCCATTGTAGAGAAACGATAACTTGAGGCCGAGTGTCCAAGCCGCACTGCACGAGTGGCAGTGTGAGCACCCCGACACCTGCGTCCGCGAGCTTAATCTCTCTGCTCTGCTGGGCCTCGGCTTCTGACCACAGATCTTTTTGTCCCCAGAGAAGAGCCTGGGTAAACTCACCAGTGATGGTAACGAAACATCACCAGCCGAAGGGGAACCATGCGACCATCACCAAGACTGCGTGCCAGGTACCGAACCAGCAACAAGTTCAAGGCTCTAGGCTGGGAGCTGGGGGAGCTGGGGGCCCTGGGTGGGATGGACCGCCCAGCATGTGAGGAGGGCCCGCAGGTTCATGACTCTTTAGGGATACATAAGGAATAACAACTCCAGCTACCATTTTACTGAGAGCTGCTGTCGTCAAACTTGATTTAATCCTCACTCCAACCCAGAGAAAGAGACCCTGTCATCCCCAATGTTCAGGTGAGAAAATAGCCTCAGAGAGGCTAAGGGTCTCAGCCAAGGTCACACAGCCGGGAAGTGGCTCCAACCTGAGGCTGCCTGGTCCTTAACTACTGCCCCATGCGCCTAAGTCAGGATGGCCCTTCTCTTGGCCTCTTCTTCCGCAAACCTGGTGGGGCTTAATTCTATCCTTGTCCCATCACTGCACTCCTGGGCTTTCTGGGGAGGCTTCTGATGACATGCTCAGCAAGGGGCCTGATGTTTTGACCGATGCCCTCACCTGCTGGCCTTGGTCGGGTCAGTCTGGACCTCCGGGAAGCAGATACTGAAGAGGAGTGAGATTAGCAGAAAGTTTATTCTGGGGGAGGGGAGGTAAGGTCTGTGAACATTAAAAAGGGGGAGGAAGCAGCAATGAACAGGGAAGCCTGCCTGTGATGCAGTCTCGGCCAGCCAATGGGGAGGGAACTCCGGGGCAAAGATTGTGTCCAAGAGGAGACCCACCTTAGGCAGAGATGGCCCTGGTACCCGCACCGTGCCAGCGCCTGGCTGGGGCTGCTCAGGGACATTGCAACTTCAGCCCACGTGGCTCCTGAAGGTGCTCCCAACTAGAGGCCATCAGCTAACTGTTCTCTTGGCTGCTGGGCAGCAAGTGCCTTGGAGGGAGAGCTGAGGGACCACACTGCTGTGGCACCACGCTTGTTCATTCGGTGGCCAGAATATTCTACAAAACAGCAACCGAACCAGCATTTGGCATTGTAAAAGCCAGACCACCGGCTCCCTCACCGGCTTTTTCTTTCCAAACCATTGTCTTCACCCTGAGCAGAAAGAAAAGGCTAGAGTCTGGGCCAACTGGGCAGTCACTCTGAGAGCTGGCTCTGTGGCGGTTGAGGCCCTGCCTTAGGCCTGCCTTGGAAGATCGCGCTGCCTCTGAGAGGGGGGAGGGGCTTCAGTTTCTCCATCTGTCAAAAGAGCACGTTGGTGTCAATGATCCCTGAGGTTCCTTCCTGCTGCAAGTTGACCACACCTGGCAGCTCCCAGCTGTTCTACCCGCCCTCCCTGGGAGGTGATCCCAAACCACCTTCGCCCCCCACCCCGTGACCAATCAATAGCCTATCTGGGGCAGCTGGGGTCTCTGCCACCTGCCCCCAGGGGCCTCGGCCACAGCATCCATCGGTGGTTCCGGCTGGGAGCCTTGCACACCAGATGGCCCACCCTACAGAGGCACGGCCCTGCCACAGAGATGATGGATTTCCTGTCCAGTGGGACTGTGTGCAGGGTGGCGGGGAGGGTCCACTCAGCTTGGCTGACCATGTGTGTGCTTGCTATGTTGGCAGGGACCTGCTGCGACCTGCGGGAGCATCTCTGCACACCCCATAACCGGGGCCTCAACAACAAATGCTTCGACGACTGCATGTGTGTGGAAGGTGAGCCTGGACTCCCGGCGGGGAGGGGGCGTCCCTTGTGCTCTAGGAACCACGAAACCTCCCTTTCTCCTTGAAGCTGGTTCTGCACTGAGTGGCGGACACGATTTCCTGGCAGAGGGTGGGCTGAGGGGCCTGTGGCAAAGGAGGGGACGGGAGAATCCCTTGGGAGCCGAAGCCGTGAGCAAGAACAGCTTTGCTCGGGGCCTTCCCAATCTGTGAACTCATTTAGTCTTGATTCCTGGCGTCGTTTCTCAGATTTGCTTTTCTCACCTCATGAAATACAAGCTGGCATGTTATCCCATGATCGGGAAGCAGGGGAGGGGAGGAAAGAGAAGCTTATCTCTCTAAGTAGGATCAAATCTGAGAAGGCCCGAATTCTATCTTAGGGGAGGCATTCCAAGTGTGGTGACAGGGCTGCGGGGTGGATTCCCTGGCATGTCCCAGGGAAGGCTACCTCTTTAACTCCTCCGAGCTCCCACCGGGAGTAGTAGGTGCCTCCTGCCCAGGTGTGCCCAGGTGTGCCAGGCTCTGCGCTAAGCACTTTCCTCCCGTTGTCTCCTTAAACCTCACAGCCATCCCAGGTAGGGAGCTATTCTGATCCCCATTTACACATCAGCTAACTGAGGTTAAGTGACTTGCCCAAACTCACACAGCTAGAAAAGTAGGGGAATATTTTTAATTGTGTATTCTGAAAATTTTCTAACATATGCTGAGTAGCCAGAATGGTAGTCAGAATAATGAACCCCCATTTACCACCACCCAGCTTAGATAATTACCAACTCAGCGCCCATCTGCGGCGTCTCTCCCCCTCCCAGTGCCCCCGTTCCAGTATGACTTTGCAACCCCTGGGAGTTGAGAGATATTTCAGCTATGAACATCTCAGTATACAGTAAAACCTTGGATCGCGAGTAACGTGGTCTGCGAGTGTTCCGCAAGACGAGCAAACATTTCTAATACATTTTAACTTGGCAAACGAGCGAGGTCTTTGCAATACGAGTAGTTTGTTTCTGGAACGAATTTCGCTCGCAAACCAAGGTATTACTGTGTATCCGTAAAAGAGACGTACTCTTTTAAAAACCAAATACCAAAAATGAACAATGATGACTCACTATCGCTCGATATCCAATTAGTGTTCACACCTCCTACGTGGGAGAATTTGGTCTCAGCCCCTCTGTGAACCATCCTGATGAGATGCATGCCCTGTGTTTGCTTATGCTGGCCTCAAAAATTATCTGCTATGAAAGCAATAAAGCTATGTAGGTCTGATTATTCATTCACCCAGTCAGTCAAGAAATATTTGTTGAGCGCCTACCGTGTGTTAGGTGCTGTTCTGGGGGGACACTGGGGATTCAGGGAAAAGAGCCAGCAAGCTCTGCACCCCAAAGAGCCCATTCTAGTGAGATGAGCACACAAGGAGCGAATAGATGTCTTCAGAAAGTTATAGTGCTGTAAAGAAAATAATCTGGAGGTCTGGGAGTTGTTTCAGAAAGGATGGACAGGAGTGGACAGTGGAACCAGCTACCTGAAGAGGAGGGCTGTTGAGGGGAGAGGGGTGGGTGTAGAGTCCCAGGCGAGAGGCAGAGCGCAAGCAAGGACCTCAGGCAAGAGCAAAGCTGGCGTGTTGAGTGGGCCTGGCACACAGTGGCCATGGGGAGAGTGGCACAAGGGGAGGTGGGAGCAGCTGGTCAGGGGGATCACACAGGACCTCGTCAGCCTCGTTTGATTTGTAAATGGAAGCTGCAGGCAGGTTTTAAGCAGGGGAGTGACATGCTCTGACTCAGGAGTTTAAAAGCTCACTCCAGCTGCAGGCCTGTGGGGGGTAGGAATGGAGACAGGGAGGACCAGCTGGGAGGGGAGAGGGGATGGAGGCAGGCAGGGGTGGAGGGTGGGGGGGATGCTGGGAAGCTGCCTGCTGGTACCTGTGTGCAGGGCCAGGGCCCTATTTCACAAAGGAGGAGGCTGAGGTGCAGAGAGGGCAGGAGGCACTCCAGCTGAGGGAGCCCGGAACAGTGTCCAGGCCAAACCTCAGTCCTTGGCCTCTAGGTCCATCCTGCCTGAATGTGGGTGACTTCGCCCTACTGAGCTGTACACGCACAGCTGGTGCCTGGCTGGACGCTCAGTGGGTGGCCCAGGAATCCTTCCTCCCGCCCTCCCCTGGGCCTCAGGTGGGAGGGGGCGGCTTTCAAAGCATCCAAAGGGTATGTCTGCAACCAAAGCCCCATCTGCTCATTTCCACTGATTCCTCTCACACCGGTGGGTTCCAAAACGCTTGCTTCCTCCCTGGAGACTCAGGCTCAAGGAAAAAAAAAAGAAAAGTGGAAGTGACAACTTGGGCAGCTGATTAAAATGGTCCAGGAAGGGCCGGCCGAGTGGCTCAGTTGGTTAAGAGCTCGCTCAAGAGTTTGAGCTCTGAGCAACAGCCGTTCGCTGCCGCTGAGCTGCCAACAGGTGGCAGGATGGCTCAGCTAAAAAAAAAAAAAAAAGGTCCAGGAAGAGGGGAAGTTGTCACCAAGATGCCACACCAGAGGAATCTAGGGGATGCCAGGAACCCTTGTGAGGACCAGGAGTCCTGAGGACTCTTGAGCTATCCCAGAATGTTGAACACAGGGTTCAGGGCTGAAGTCCAGCAGTCAGGGCCAGCCTGGGTTCTGGAGGGTTCTGAAAGGGCTTCTGTGGCCACCAACCACTCCTGCTCATGACTCCCCTGTCCCCACCCAAGTGTCACCATAGATCTAAAAGCCCAGGAACCCAGTTGTCAATTCTAGGCCACTAAGCACAAACTTCACAGCAGTCCCTTTGTTCTCGTGACTGTGACATAAGTGGACCTTAAAGTAGCAATGCCTTCTCTCTGTGGTCGCTCCTAACCTGAAATGTAGGATTTGCTCAGGCCACACTGACATCTCCCACCATCCAGAGGATGTGGCCTTGAATGAAAAGTAAATGTACCTGTGTATCTCAGGGGATGCCTGTAGCTATGAAGGAGAGGGCCAGGAAACCCTCCCTAGGGTGGGGCCAGGAGGGCCACACCGACTTTAATTGGGGTGATCAGGGTGGGTCTCTTTGAGACCTGAAAGCCATGAAGGAGCGAGCTATGCAAAGAGCTTGGGGAAGGGATTTCTGGCTGCTAGAACAGCAAGTGCAAAAGTCCTGAGGCAGGAAATGGCTGGGTATATGAGGCAAAGCAGGAAGACTGGAGTCAGATTTCCTTCTGAGTACAATTGGGGAGCCATTGGGGGTTTTACCAGGAGAGGGCAGAATCTGCGCCTCTTTACGAAGTTGTTTTTTTGTTTGTTTGTTTCATTTTTAAAGATTTTTATTGGGGAATTGGGGGATGGGAACAGTGCTGGGGAATTGGGGGAAGGGGAACAGACAAGTTGCTGTCGTTTTTTTGTTCTTCAGTCTAGTTGTGGAGGACGTTGCTTCACTGGCCCAAGTTGGCACCATCATTGCGCTCTTCCCAGGCGAGGCACATCAGTCGCCGGCTTCTGGACAGCCGCTCACTGCGGCTGCTGGCTGCTCACGCTGGCTGCTGGCTACACACGGTAGCCCATGGCAACCCACTGCCATAGGGGCTGCAGCCCACGCTGTCACCGGTGACTCACAGCAGCCCAGCTCCAGGTTGAGCTGTTGTTCAGCATCTTAGCTGTAGAGGGCAGTGTCACTGGCCCTCATATGTGGGATCCGAACCGGGGCCCTCTGGCGTCCCAAGCCAGTTCTTAACCATCGCGCCACTCGGCTGGCCCTACAAAGTTTTTAATAGACTTTTAGAGCAGTTCGGGATTTATGAAAAAAATTGTTCAGAAAATACAGTTCTCATATACCCTCTCTGTCCCTACAGCTTCCTTATTATTATCTTGCATTAGGGTAGTACACTTTTTTACAATTGACAAACCAATCTTGATACATTAGTATTATTAATACTAACTAATTCTTCATTCTTCGTGTTGTACATTCTGTGGTTTTTGATAAATGCATAATGACATGCATCCACCATTGCAGTGTTGCATAGACTAGGTCATGGCCCTAAATCTCCCCTGTACTCCATCTGTTCATCCTTCCCTTCTTCCCCATTCAGGCTGCTGTGCAAAAGGATGTGTTGGTTGTAGGGCAGTCTAAAGAAGGGGATGATAGCGAGAGGGTGCAGGGGTCCAAGAGGGTGCGGGGGAAGAAGGGGGAGGGGACTGGCTGGGCATACCCCAACCCTTGTCTCCCTTCGCTCAGGCCTGCGCTGCTATGCCAAGTTCCACCGGAACCGCAGGGTCACACGGAGGAAGGGACGCTGCGTGGAGCCCGAGACGGCCAACGGCGACCAGGGATCCTTCATCAATGTGTAACTGCTGCCCCACGCAAGGCGCCTCCCTGCTGGCCTGGGGCCTGAGCGCCGAAGGTTTGGAGAAGCGGGCGATTTGTTTATAACTAGCAGTGGGAGAGCAAATGGGAGACCAGAAGACAGGCTGTAAGCCCAGGACACTAACCCCCCCGGAAGGTCGCTCCGGGGAACTGCCTGCCCAGGACTCAGCACACCTGCACCCACCACCCCTCCCCCGGGGAACCCACACTACCTGCGCATCCGTGTGCGGGGCTTCTCAGCGATAGCAATGTCAAGAGTGCCCTCTACTGTCCGACCGGAGCACTGCAACAGCTTCAAGTTTAAAAATGAAGAGGTTTTTGAGCGGAAAAGGAATGGAAACTCCTTGAGAAATGGGGAACCCAAGGGCTGGAGGTGAATACGGAATACCTCTTATGTACCAGGCACTGGGCTAGATGCGTGGCATACGTTATCCCACTTAGTTATCACATAACCTAATGTAAACATTATCACCATTTACAGGTGAGGAAACTGAGGCACAGTTCAGTCATATGACTTATCCAGGGTCCCATATCAGCGCTTCTCAAACCTTAACCTGCGTATGGATTCCCCTGGGGTCTGGTGCAAGTGCAGATTCCGACTTAGTCGAACGCGGGGCCTGCCTATGCTGCTGGTCCCCGGACACCGCTGAGAGCACCCAGGCTCAGGGAGTACAGGTGGAGCTGGGTTCCGCACCTGGGCCAAGGCTGTGGGGCTCTACAGCTCACGTTCTTGATCCTCCACAACTAAGGACTTATCCCAGCCTCTCCATGGCTTTCAGCGAGACAGACGTGCTCGCTGGTAGTTCCTTTTGCTGGAGTAAAAGCTGCAGTAGCTGACTGCTCTCTTCCTTCCCTGGACAAAGGTGTATCGTCTTTAAAACCAAACCAAACCTGCATTAGGCACCTGCTGGCTTGTAAGGCATGATGTGAGCAGATGGGCCCCTGCCTGGGAACTGGCATCCTGAGCTAATGCGGGTTCCTTAGACTCCCATGGCCCTGCTCACCCAGCCCTTGGACACCCACTTTGGAGTCGTCCTCACAGCTTCCACCTCAGGAGTCCTTTACCTTTTGTACTTAATGCCCTTTGAAAACCTAACATAAACATGGACTCACTTTGTTTCATCTTAGTAGTCCCAAGGCCTCCCAGAAGACCATGTCAGGACCCCCACCCCACACGTCTGCTGCAGAGCCCACTGAGGAGTTGGGGTGCTGCTGAAGTCAAGGTGCCATCTGAAGCTACCTGCCCCCCCCAGCAAACCCATGATGCCCACCCAGAATGTCTCTCCCAACAGCTGGCTCTAGGGGCCACCTCCAGAGAGCCACTTGAATCCCCCCCACCTGGCATGCGGTGCAGGGCAAACCAGGTTGCAAATGACAAAAGCCTTCCCCATCCAAATTCCTTGCAGCCTGGACACCTGCCTGAGGGAGGGACCACGCCCACAGGATGCCAGGGCTGTTTACTCCCTTGGGAAAATCAGTCGAGGTCAGGGGTCTGGCACCAAGGAAAGCAAGACGGATCTGGGAGAAACCAAATATGCCTGCTCTTTTCTCCTATTCAAGTTCAATGGGCATGGGGATATTGGGGGGTGGGGCCGGGGAACAGAGAGATCAAAGCCGGCTCTTTGGAAATCGAATCCGCAGGCAGTTTTGTCTTTGAGAGCAGACAACGCCCATGCTGTGTGTGCCTCACAGGGGTGGCTGATTGGAGACTGTGATGGAGTCCTAAGGGTGTGGCTGCGGGCAAGAAACCCAGCATTGCTTAGGCCTGAGGGGCAGCAATTAGATGGCTCTGGACACCAGCAATGGAAAACAAAAGGGCAGGGACAAAGCTGAGAGGACCCACAGAACTATCACTGCCCACCAGGCGAGTTCCACGGTTGGAAGCCGGGGCCTGTCCACTTGCACTAGCTACCTCCATTTGGCATTTGCCACTGGGGGGTTGGCATGGAATCCTCTCAACTCCAGAGTTAGGGACTCCCAACCCCCCTCAGTGTTTCCTCCGGCAGGAAGTGTTTCCTTAGGTAGGAAGTGTTTCCTTCGGTCTATTTTACATTTCTTCTGCTGGTACAGAAGCCAATTAATTTTCTCTACTCCCGGGTTCGGCCAGCTTTACCATGAAGGGCTAGAGAAATATCTTAGGCCATGTTCCAATAAAACTATCTGTGGACCCTGAGGTTTGAATTTCATATAGTTTTCACATGTCACAAACTCTTACTCGGCTCTTGATTTTCTAAAACACATTTAAAAATGTAAAAACCTCTCCTCTTAACTTGTAGACTACACAAAAATAGGCAGTCGGTTGGATTTGGCCCACAGGCCGTGGTTTGCAGCTCCCTGCTCCAGTCTGCTGGTCTCAACCTTGGCTGCACATTAGAATAATCTGAGGAATTTTTAAAGGCACTGATGCTCAGGGGCCCACCTGCAAAGATTCTGGTTTAATTGGCCTGAGTTGTTTCTGGGCTTCATGAGTTTTCAAAGCTCTCCAGGTGGCCCTAATGTGCACCTGGGCCCAAGAGCATCTTGTGACAAAAGGCCTGCTCCACCTCTCACCATCTTCATGACCTTAGAAAACTCCCTTAAGGTCTCTATGCCTTGATTTCTTCATCTGTAAAACGGGGATAGTAACTTCTTTCCTAGGGGAATTGTGAGAAGTAATCGCAAAACCCTTATACTGTGCTTCAGACAGTGCCCAGCACATAATAAGCCCCCAGTGTTAGCCAGTTTATTTTCGAGGATAATTTTAGTAGGCGTTCCGTTCTTTGATAAGGATCCATTGCATATTCAAAGATCATTTCTAAGTCACTGTTCAGGCGCCTTCCTCAAACGGTGTCCCCTGGAACACTGGGGCCCTGAGACGCTCCACGAGAAAGGAGTGGGGGTCCAAGAGGTTTGCAAAACTGCTCTGGACTCAGCCTGAGGCCGCAGAGCTGGAGGCGTGGGTGGCTTTGTGATAACAGGTTCATGGGTTTTTGAAAATACACCCAAGGGCGGGGGGTGGGGGGGGTGGGGAGCTGAGCAGGGGGCCAAGTGGAAACCAATAGCTGCGGGACAGTCACCTGTGCCCTCCTGCATTCCTGCCGTGGAGCCTTACAGCCATTCCCCAGAGATACTCACCGTTCCCACGGGGCTGCCTTTCTGCGATTTGTCTGGCAACGCCAAGAGTGGCTCCCAAGCCTACTGGGAATGTGCTGAGGGTCAGAGGACATGAAGGCCACGTCTCATGGGAATGTGACAGTTTCACTGGCCCTTTGGGTAGGAACAGACACAAGGCAAATCGCAAAGCCATGGACCCCTTCCACCGCTCAGGTGGGTCCTTCCTTCAAGCCATATTCAACATACCCAATAAAATCGAATGTCAAGTGATGGGCACCCAGCTCCCCGGAATGGGATCCACTTTGCAACTGGAGAAACTGGAGATACGTGTGACCTGCAAGGAACATGTTTTATGGTTTTTTTAGCTGAGCCATCCTGCCACCTGTTGGCAGCTCAGCTGCAGCTTAGCTCAGGCCATGAATCGAACTGGAAACCCTGTTGCTCAGAGCTCACACTCTTGAGTGAGCTCTTAACCAACTGAGCCACTCGGCTGGCCCGTAGGAACATGTTTTATAAAAGACAAAACAGCAAGGAAGGGGTGACCTGTTAGCTCAGGTGGTTGGAATGTGGTGCTGATAGCACCAAGGTTGCCAGTTTGGTCTCCGCATGGGCCGCTTTGAGCTGTGCCCTCCTTAAGGGAGTCAACTATGCCATTGTGGCATGAAAGCAATGTGTAACCAATGACCATGGCTGTTCCCCAATAAAAATTAAAAAAAAAAAAACCCAGCAAGGAAAAGTGGGTGTTGGCAGAGACAGTGGGAAGGGTCAAAAATCATTTAGGCTCCTCCTTAGAGATGTCACGGGGCTGGAAGGGACACCTACACCTCTATGATGACCTTCACTCTCGTGTGATTGTGAAGAGGGTGTGAGTGTGTGCGTGCGCTGGGGAGGGGGCGGCAGGAATTAACTGCCAGTTTGCAGAACCAAGGGCTTCCATTGCAGGGAGTGTGTTTTCTGCATGCTACGTCAGGACGGGTGATGTGATTTAGGATCCGTGGCCTCTCTGGGTGCAAGAGGCTTACTAGTCCCTCCTCCCAGTGCCCTCCAGAACCAGCATCCCCTCGGAACTAGGTAGAAATGCAGGACCCCACCTGCTAAATCAGAATCTCTGGGGGGTGGGGCCCAGCCGGGTGGGTTTTAACAAGTTCTCCAGGTCATTTTTTTGTGCATAAGAAAGTGAGAGACGGGTCTAGGACACAGAACTGTTGGGTCAGGGACATTTGGATGATTCAGGGGCATTTGCATTCAGGTGTGAGTTGGCAAATCTGAGATTTGCCCAGTTAATAACCAGCAATGACGAATTCACAGGCTCTGAGGCCCTGCCTCCGGGGCTGGAACTGGTCTTTATTTTTAGAGGAAACTGAGTGGATCCCCTGGGCCTGGGGCCCTCAGTCATTGGGTGTTCTTCCTCTTAGGAGCATCCCTGAGGGGCTGTGGTTCCTCTTTAAAGTGTGGGGCAACGGGGAGGGGGAGGTGCTGTGCCCTTGCAGTCCTGTGATGCCATGTTGCATGTGGTCTCTTGAGCTGTAAATAAAGAGGTGATGGTTAATAAGCTGACTTGCTGTCTCTCTCTGCCCCTCCAGGAGCTGGTCTGCCTGTGCAGGCAGCGAGCACCATCAGGGCATTTGGAGGGGACTCTAAGCCTAGTGTTTCCCCTGTTACATCTCATTCATTCACTCACCCTTGTGAGCATTTTCTCTGAGCTAAGCAGTACATGGCAGACAGGGTCCCGGCCCTCACCCAGACCTCATCGTGGTCTTTTAACCAGACCTCTTGGATGGGAGTTTCATCTTTTTATCTCCCTCCCTATGTTAGGGTTAAGGCAGCTACAGTCCCAAAGAGATTACGAGGCTGGTCACAGCAGGCCGGCCTCCAGCAGTTTCATTCCAGGCCTGGGTGGCCAAGTGCGGAGAAAAACAGACGCCAACTTGGGCAGGATGGGGAAGAACAAAGCATCGTTGCCTGAAGCTGGGCATGGGCAGGCTCAGATGCCATCTTGTGAAAGGACACGAACTGGCGAGAGGGTGGCCTGGCTTGGCACTGGGAGGGACATCTCGTCTCAGTGGCGGCTCCAGCCAGCAGCACCCAGTTCTGCTGACCAGGCCCTACCAGGCCTGGCTGATCATAGCAAGACTCCGTATGGCTCTCAGTGGCTCTATGCACTAAAGCCAAGCCAGGGTCCAGGCTTTCCTGGGGGCCAGGGTCACCACAGATGCAGGGTGCCCTTACGGGCCCGGTGTCTGTGCAGAGAGCTCCCTGCCCAGATACCACTGAGAGACTGGCTCCTGCAGCCTGAATGGGGGGAAAACCCTAATCCAGGGGCTCCTGGCATCAGGATTGTATCAGGAGCAAACCCAGGTGTCTTAGACCCACCTGGGCCTCTCTCTAGGGGTGGGCTTGGAAATCTGTATGTTTGATGAGCCCCCCACCCCAGGTTTGAAAACTGCCATACCAAATCTTTCTGAGAACTCACCTCCTCCCTGCTCGGGCCCCAGGTAGCTGATGAACCCTCCACTGAGGATGGTTCTCAAGAACCGAGCCCAGATGTTTCCTTCCATATAGCCTTTGTGAGTCATGCCGTCTCTGTCCCAACTGCTCAGCTCTGCATTGTAGTGTAAAAGCAGCCATAGACAACACGGAAATGGAGGACTGCAAACGATGAACAAGGCTATGTTCCAATAAAACTTTATTTATATAAGAGGGCAGTGGGCTGGATCTGTCCACGGGTTGTAGTTTGCCAGTCTCTAGCCTATACTGCTGACCCCTTGGTCAATGGTTACAGAAAGGCATGCTGGGCTTCTAAAAACTCCTTCTGGCGGGGGACCGGTTAGCTCAGTTGGTTAGAGCATCGTGCTGATAACACCAAGGTTGCTGGTTCAATCCCCACATGAGCCACTGTGAGCTGCGCCCTCCTTAAAAGAGTCAACTATGCCATTGTAGCATGAAAGCAATGTGTAACCAATGACCATGGCTGTTCCCCCAATAAAATAAAAATAAATAATAATAAATAAATAAATAAAAACCCCTTCTGTCCTGAGATGTCATCTCAAACCATTTCTACAAACAAGGCTCAGAGCAGTGTTGAAGTGAGGGGTCAAGAGCGGTCAAACTCAAGGCCACAGAGATTTCGGCTTTCTGCTGGCAGCCTGGGTGCTGCCCTCAGGGGACCAGGTGGCTAAATTGGGGGCGTATCAGCCAGGGTTCTCCAGATAAACAGAACCAATAGGATATTTATTTTTATATATCTTTAAATGTCCATGTGTTTCTATATCTCTTCTTTATATGTGTATTTATATAGACTTATTTTAAGGAATTGACTCACGCTATTGTAGGGGCCAGAAAGTCTGAAATCTGTAGGACAGGCCAGCAGGTCAGAAACTTGGACAGCAGTTGATGTTGCAATATTGAGGCTGCATGTCTTCAAAATGTCAGCTTTTGCTCTGATGGTCTTCAACTGATTGGATGAGGCCCACCCACATGGTGGAGGGTAATCTCCTCTCCTTGAAGTCGACTGCTTGTAGATGTTGACAAATCTACAAAAATGCCTTCATAACAACATCTAGATTAGTGTGTCATTAAATCTTCAGGTACCACAGCCTGGCCACGTTGACACAGAAAATTGACCATCGAGGGGAGCAGGGGAGCATGGCTCCCCGGCTTCAGCTCCAGACCAGAGCACCTGGGCCTGTGGCAGAGTGGTCTTTGGCATGTTGTGAGCTCTGGACTTCCTCACTCCTCTGCCAGCTTGAGCATCAGGTGGCAGCAGTGGCTGCCATCTGTCATGTACGTGGGCATGCGTGCCCTGGGTGTGCCCAAATGAGTGTCTGCTCAATGTCGGAACATGAAATCTCAGTTGGAGTGGGGTGTCCGTGTGAATGGACACATGACTGGGTAGGCAAGTGGCTAAACAGGTGCCCCTGTCCCTTCTTTGTAGCCCCTTCCACGATGCCCAGGTGTATCCTGAACCCCACATGTGTGTGCTGGGGGACCACGGCAGGAAACCTGGGTTCCATCCACCCTGGTGATTGGTCAGTGCAGTGGGGCAGGTTGGTCAGCTCTGCACATTGTGGTCCTGACCTGTCTCTCCATGTCCTCAGCCTTGGCCTTATGTCAGTGCCTGGCACAGAGTGGAATTCAGTAGTCCCCCCTTATCTACGGTTTTGCTTTCCATAGTTTCAGTGAACTGCAGTCAACCATGGCCTAAAAATACTAAATGGGAAATTCCAGAAATAAGCAATTCGTTCGTTTTAAATTGCAAGCCCTGACCAGTGTGATGAAATCTTGAGCCGTCCCTTTCTGTCCCACCCAGGATGTGAATCACCCCTTTGTTCAGCATCTCCATGCTGTTCATGACACCTCCCCCGTTAGTTACTTAGTAGCTGCCTGGGTTATCAGATCGATTGTTGCCGTGTCCAGTGTTGTGTTCAAGTCGCCCTTATTTTACGTAATAATGTCTCATTCACCTCATTTCATCTCATCATGTAGGCTATTTACTATCTCACATCATCACAGGAAGAAGGGGGAGGCCAGTACAGTAAGATATTTTGAGAGAGAAACAGAGAGAGACCATATTCACATAACTTGTATTACAGTATATTGTTGTAATTATTCTATTTTATTAGTTATTATTAATCTTTTGTGCTTAATGTCAAAATTAAACTTTATCATAGGTATGTATGTATAGGAAAAAACAGTATATACAGGGTTTGGAACTATCCGTGGTTTCGGGCATCCACTGGGGGATCTTGGAAGTTATAAGTGGGGGAAGGGTGGATGGATAAGGGGGGCCTATTGTACATGTTTAGAGAGGAAATGCATTCATTTGAACACAACCCTGGCCTCTGTTTATTGAGCTGTGTCCACAGCATGAGGCACCCCTCCTCTTGT